GGGAACAGCAGCCTCTTGGTAACAGAGCTCTCAAGCATTTTGTTTTACTTGGATCCACAAGCAACACCCACGGAAACAGCAGGCAAGAATCAAAGGTTGTGCTTTCCCCTGTCGCTGCCGAGTTGTGCAGAGGTGGAGGGCCGGGTGCGTTCAAGATTCCGCTCCACTCGTAACCCACCGCCATGGCCGAGGAAGGCATTGCCGCTGGAGGTGTAATGGATGTTAATACCACTTTACAAGAGGTGTTAAAGATCGCCCTCATCCACCATGGCCGAGCATGTGGAATCCACGAAGCTGCCAAAGCCCTAGACAAGCGCCAAGCCCATCTACGTGTGCTTGCATCCAACTGTAATGAGCCTATGCATGTCAAGTTAGTAGAGGCCCTTTGTGCTCAACACCACGTCAACCTGATAAAGGCTGATGATAATAAGAAACTGGGGGAGTGGGTAGGCCTCTGCAAAACTGACCGAGAAGGAAAGGCCCGCAAAGTAGTTGGCTGCAGTTGTGTAGTTGTTAAGGACTATGGCAAAGAATCACAGGCCAAGGATATCATTGAAGAGTATTTCAAATGCAAGAAATGAAACCAATAAAGAACTTGGCATATTAAAAAAAAAAAGGAATCAAAGGTTGTGTTGCATGGGAAAAACTTACTGCAAAACACTTCTTTAAAGCGTTACAAAGCACAGCTGTCATGTTGAGGATTAGGTGAGCCTGACCTAAACTGTTGTATTTTCAATTGCTTCTGGTGCGTGTGAAAGCTGAGTAATGAATAAGGACTAACAGAGTTGATGCCTTGGGATCATGGCGTCGGTGAATACTGACTATCCCAGAGACTGTCAGAAGAACTGACGAATCTCTCTTGAGAGAACTCTGGCCAGAACACTCATCAGAAGGGAGAAATGCGAGCGTTAATCTCATTTATTTGGGGTATCTTATCAGAAGAGACCAGGTCCTGGAGGAAGGTATCATGTTTGGTATTCTCTTTCATTGCCATTGAGTTTGAACTTGACTCATAGCTGAACCCCCAGAGGGTTTCCAAGGCCTTTCATCGTGCTTCTGGGTAAATCAGAACCTCCAACCTTTGGTTTAGAGGTCAATACAGGGCTCTACTGGCAAATCGGGAGCTACAATGCCCATACAGTGTTGGGATATGCAAGATCCCTAACAGTGCCAAACACTATGGAGGCTGTTACTTGGAGCTTCCATTCGTGTTAAAATAGCAAAGGGTGGGAGAGGGCAGGGGTGAGGGGGATCTGATTATTTTGAAAGGTTTGGTGAATCCCCTGTTGGTTCAGAGTCACACAGCACTGTGACACACTTTGCCATGTCACCTCCATGACCCCTGTGAAGTGCAGGCAGCATTACTTGCACTTTCCAGGTGAGGACACAGGGGTGGCGAGGTGCACTGACCAGCTCAGATCCAGGTCCTGACCTGAGGGTTCTTTTGGATGCCACCTCGCTCAGGTTTTACCAGCTGAAGAGCTTGGTCAAGGCCAGGACAAGCTCTGTGGGCATCTGAAGACAGAGATGGGGGAACTGAGCAGAGATGGGTGACAGAGGAGACCTGGATGTCACATGGTATTAACTCCCTCCCACTGGTGCGCATGCACGGACACGACCACACGTTCTACAACAATGAGAATATTTATTTTCTCCAGGCAGTAAAAATAACATTTTTTCTCTTTCTCTCTTGTAAAAGTTAAGTACCATTACATTTCATTTTCTTAAATAACAAAATCCTAAAAATATATATTAAATTGTATACAGTACGTCACACTTCATCTTATATTTTAAAATACATGATGTTTCTACTTTATTCTCAGAGTTGCATATTAAGAGCATATTTACAGACGAAGCTTGTCATCCAGAAAAGGTCCCTGTGAGGGGGCGGTCTGGACATGGGACAGTCTGTCACAGGGTGGCCACTCCTTCACAGAGCTCCTCCCACACTTCTTTCTGAAGCACGTTACTGCTGACCCCCGCACACCCCATTGGTGATGTGATGTCTACGTGTGACTTGGCATGGAGCTGTGGGATGGCTGCGCTGGGGGCCTGGGGTCAAGGGCCAGTGCCATCTCCTGACCATGCAGCCTGAGGGAGGAGCCGTGGCCAGAAGGTTTGGAAACACCCCACACCAGGGCAGCTAAGCTGAGAGGCTCGGCCAGGAGGTAGACCAGTGAGGAAGGCGAAGACCCCAAGGTCACACCATTGAAGGGTCCACAATCCCAAGGCAGTAACTGAAGCAGACGCTGGCCTGTGGAGTCACGCAGCCCGAGGATGGCAGTTGGCTGGGGCGTGAGGGGGAAGCTGGCCCTGTCAGGGGACGGCCTCGTCAGATGAGGGGGGAGGTCTCACAGGCCATCTGCTGTTTGGTTTTGGTATTTAGTAGTGGTCATTAGAGCTGCCTAAGTGCTGGGAAAGCTAAAAGCATGGTACCCAAGACAAGGGGCCTTGTAGGTGGCCTGGCCAGCCCTGCTTGGGTGCTGAGCACATTCAGCCGCCTGTGGCGGCTCTGGTCTGTGGGTTCCTTGCTTACTGGATTCTGGAGCTGGAGCCCATACTTCAGGGATAACAATCACCTGGGCACCTCGCTTTCGCCCAGGGAGGCCTCAGGCCTGCTCCTCAGTGGCAGAGAAGGGGGGACAGTAGAGTTCATGCCCAGCGGTCACTGTACATGAATGGACAAGCAGGAAGGCTGGGGCACAGTGTGTGCCCCTCCCAGGAACACCCAGGTCACTGCTGGGACACCCGCCCCAGAGCCCCAAGTCCATCACTGTAGCACACCCAGCTGGTGCCACATGGGCTGAGGCACCTCTGGGAACTGCAGGTGGCTTTGGGTGTGGTTTCCAGGGGATCAAAGCTCCTTGTGAATTCTTCTCTGTGGTCTGTGGCCAACTTTCTGGTCCTCTCGTCTCCGAGTTCTCCCCTATGAAGCAGTTTCCTTCTCCTGGGGCCCACTCTTCTAGGGGCTTCCTCAGTTAGGGGTCCCTTTCGGTTGTGATCCAGCCTAGACCTGGCATGTTCATGGAGACTCAAGTGGGAACAATTTATAGCCCTGTCTCCTCATGCTGTGCCAAGCCTGGCTTTGGCTTCCCCATCAAGGCTCTAGAGTCACCAGGAAGAAAGCCTGGGGTCAGGGCACCTCAGGGACCCCCAAGGGGGGTCACTACAGGAGCAGTCTTTAGCCAGAATACCAGATGAGAGCTGAGAGGGCTGTGGTAAGTATGCACCCCAGGCAGCAATCCCCCTGCGGGGTGAGTGTCTGGGGCCCAGGACCCCACTGCCATGGGCCTGCGTGGCTGGACACTTGTGTCTGAAAGGAGATTCCACAGAAGCCAGGAATAGTTGGAGGGAGACAGATGCGGCCCATGTTTCCAGGGCTCCTTGTATGTAACCGGCCTCTGTCCTCAGACCCAGAGGCCTCCAGACAGCTGCTCTAAGATAAACCACCCTTTCTGGATCAAAGCGCATAGACAGGGCCCAGAGGCCCGCCGTCTGCAGCTGCACCTGGCCAGTGCCCCCGCCTCCCGCTTCTGGGTGCCCCGCCCACCCGCTCATGCAGCTCTCCTGGTCTCAGGCTGCTGAGCGCCCTCTCTCCCTGTGGACACCAGGCCAGCCCCACCCTGCCCTGTGTCCTCCTGGGACTGGGTAGGCACAGAAGGGCTGCCAGCGTGGCTGAACCCCAGGGAGGGATGCAAAGTGCTTCAAAGAGGCCAGAGGCAGAAGGGGCACATTAGCTGAGGGCCCAGGGCGGAGTTGCCCTCAGAAGCCAGACTACCCTCCTCTCAGCTGCTGCTGCCAACTCCCGCTTTCACACGGTGGGGACGTCCAGTGGGGACAGCTCTCTCACACACACAGCGGGTGCCCTGCATCCTGGGAGCCTCACCCTCGGCAGTGCACCTACATTTTAGAGTGACTCGGGGATGTGGGATCCGGGCCATTCCTGACTGCCCTCGAGGCCACGGGGAGCAGAACCCTCAGGTGAGCCTCATATCAAACTAAGAGACACCTGAGCGGGGCATGCGTGCTCGGGGTCTCACCGCAAAAAGCTCAAGCCCACTGCCATCGAGTTGACTTGGCAACTGCAGAACACAAGGCTGGGCCTCCTTTGGGGCTTAAGTGGTGAGGCTTAAATGTTGCAGCACAACACACTGATACTCTTGTTCTGAACACGCATCAGCCTGGAGACTCTTGGAAGGTGTGGGGGCCCAGGCACTGGCGGCCCACGCTCCTACGGCCCTCTCTGCTGCCTGCACCAGCTTCCAGTAAAGTGTGGTGCCTGAATAAGCGGGTGGGGTTTTTTACGCCCACTCTTTGCGCTTGCTCTGCTGGTCACGGGGCTGCGAAAGGAGAGATCCGGAAAGAACTGTGCATGGAGGGGGGTGCCAAGGTGAGGTGGAGGGGACTCTCTCGGCCCAGTTCTCAGGCTGCGGGAGGCCTGAGCCGACCCAGAAACCTGACTGCAAAGCCCTGCAGTCGGCATGGAGTGTGGCACCCTCTTTCTCCTTTGGGGGTGCTAATGCCCAGAGGGATACACTAGTGCAAGACCAGGCTAACCTTCAAGAGACCTCACATTCTCCCAGTGGTCCTGTTCCAAATGTGAATAGTAGGACAAAGGAGTTTGTGACTGGGCAAAGCAGAGAAGCAAGGGTCCGTGTAACCACGCCTCCGTGTTAGGTGGAGACCTAACACACATCTGGCACACACTGGCCCTGGTGCCTGGTGCAGGCCTGTCCTGGGCCCACTGCTTTGAGGGCAGAGTGATGGAGGTCCGGAGGCTGGCATGGGGAGGGACCTTAGTCTCTCTCCTGAGTACAGCTAGTAAGGCAGGGTGAACCCAGGCTGCCTGGCCCTGCAGTGCACCCCTTCCCATTGGGAGATGGGCACCTGAAGGGGTGCAGTCAGGGAGAGGCAGAAATGGGTCAGATGAAAGCACGGGAGAGTTCAACCCTCGCAGCCCGAGCTCATCTGGGGGCCTGGTGTCCCCCAACAGCCAGGCTTTAGTCACTCACGAGGGGACTTCGGTCATCTTGCTGGCTCTGACCTTTGAGCTTCTTCTTAAAGATGGAAATGGAAGTAGAAGGCTCATAAAAAATGCTCCAGATTTCCCCTGAGGTCCCCGGCTGCCGGCAATCCCGGAGGTCCCCCGCAGCAGGAACACGATGGGCCCTGTCAAGCACAAGGTAATCAGCATTTCAAGCAGAGCAGAGTAAGGTGTCCAAGACAGATGCCCATCTCCTGACATAGATGGTACCCACACCTGGGGGCATAGGTAGACAAGGCCTTGGAAAGGCATACTCCTGGGTTTAAGTACCATTGAGTCTGAAACGACTTAGAGCGGACCCTCCAGTGGGTCTTCAGAGGCAGTAAACTGCACAGAAAGAGACTGTTCATCTTTTTTTCACAGAGCAGCCAGTGGATTCAAACCACGTGCCTTGGGGTTGGCAGCACAACTCCTTACCACTGGGCTACCAGAGCACCCTTCAAATGAACTGTAGGCATCTGGGCTGCAGCGGCAGTATCACAGAGAACTTTTCAACTGGCAGAATTATGCCAATCTGGAAATGGTTGGCCAATTTTTTTTTAAATAGCAGAACTTTTTTTTTTCCGAATAATAACTTTATTTGTAAGCCCACCTAGCTAAACTCTCTCATTGCCTTCAGGTTGAAACTGACTCAGAGCTGACCCTCTATTGCTTTTCTGAAGCTGTAAACTCCACAGGAAGAGACTGCCATCTCTGTCTGGTAGAATGACTTGTGGATTCGAACTGTCAGAGCAGCGCGGCCTTCGGGTGAGCAGCTATGGACCAGGCCTCCAGCACTCCCTGCCTAGGAGGGTTTGATAAAGGCAAAAGCACTGTGTTTGGAGTGGGGGCCTCTTTGACCTCCAACACCTCTGCTTGCGAGGGCACTGGAGAGGTATGCCAGCATCAGATCGCCATTGGCCTTGTGCTTCAGGGCTCATGGACACAGGGGCCTCACCATGCTGGGGGATCCTGGGCCTGTGCAAAGCACCCTGCTCTTCTTGGGGCTGCCGAGGACATGGGGACAAAAGGCTTTCCCAGAACATGGAAGCAGAAACTTGGGGGGGGGGTTGTCTAAGAGACACGGCAGTAAGCTCAGTAAACAATAATAGGGATACTGTTTCACTGGAGAATGTAAAACCGAGGTTGGAAATGCCTGTGGAGGACGGGAAAGTTGGACAGAAGGGAAGACCCGGGCCAGGCTTCATCTCATTCCTGCCGAGCAATGGTGGAGCCCACATTTGCTGTGTGCGTTGGCAGCTGCAGGCCAGTAGGAAACCCAGAATTTCAGTGGCTTGTGCCAGATTAAGTATTCAGGAAGGCGTTGGGATGGGGAGCCCCAAGACTGGGAGCCCCAGAAGAGACAGAATAGGAACCCAGAACAAAATGCACCTGTCAGCACATAAGTACCAGGGTGTCAGTAACTAGCTGGCCTTTTCCCAAAAGGCCTATGTGTAACATGGGAGCAGCAAAAAGAGAAAAGGAAATTTGTTGTTGTTATTGTAGATTTTGTTTTCCAAATTAGTCTAAACTGAAGGATGAAGCTTTAATGACTTCTGAAAGAATTCTTTTCATTTGTAAACAAGAGTCCAAAATGTTAGACTCCTCTAAGACTGCTTTCCAATTTCTTCTTTTTATTTTATTTATTAATTTTTTAATCCAATTTCTTCTTTTAAAAAAACCCAAACAAACTGGTAACCTATTGCTATGGAGTTGATTCTGACTTGAGCTGGAAACTGCCAGGCACCTCTGGATAAACTTGAACCACCAACCTTTTGGTTGGCTGTCAACCATGTACTTCACTCAAGAACTAGGTACCTACAAGACATTCGCTCACTCAGAGTCAGAACCCACTCACTGGTGACCCTTCTCGGTGGGTTTCCGGAGGCTGTAAATCACATAGGAGGGGACTGTCTATCTTTCTTCCTCGGGGCCACTGGTGGATTTGAACTTCCAGAGAGGTTCTGCCTTTAGATTAGCAGTGAAATTCCCTAAAGACTTGGCTTAGGAATATTTGCTCCGGCATAAAGATCTTTTTATGGGACCAACAGCATGGAAAAAAAAAGGGAAATTGTTGTATTTTATGCCCAGAACGGTTTCAATCCTCCTTGAAATCATGTCCTTTGGACACAGGGGTGAACATAACCCCTCCTTCCTTTGTGAGATTTGTCCAGTTGGACACTTCAGTCCACAGAGAATGAGCAAGGCCTCATGCTTTACACTGCCTGGGACTAAGGGCCTTGGAGTCATGCTCTGACATTAACAGTTGTATCCGGACAGATGAAGCACGGTGAGAAAGGAATCTGGATCCTTCCCCGTGCTGGGATCAGGCAGCCCTCTCTTGTACTTACTTGAACGTGATGTGCAGGAGTATCTTTGCTACAACCGCCGTGACTGTGAGAATGAGGAGCGTGGCCAGGCCGTAAACTGTCCATCCTGCAAGTGTAAAAGACAGGTTTGTCAGAGCTGTTTGCGCTCCATTTCCAAAAGGTCTGTTGGAAGCCCCAAGTGAACACTGGGTGCTCAGAGAAGCAGGGCTGGATGGGGGGTCCTCTGTAGGTGGGGCCCCCCATCAAACAGCCTCCAGAGCAGCTGTGAGCTATGCTGGGCTGGAGCCTTGCCCTAGAGCTCATGCCTGGAGAGAGGCATGGTGGTGTGGTCCAAGAGTCTGTGCCACTGAAATCACCATGCAATGGAAGGGAAGCAGGAGCCAGTGGTTAGCCGTGCTTAATGCCATTTTGTCTGTCTTGTAGCTATTTCATGTGTAGAAAGTATAACTGCTTCTTAGTCACTCTGTTGATGATTTACTGTAAAGTTATCTGCTTAACTAGGACAGGAATGCTTGGTCTTATGTATGTGGCTTCTGAACGACTGTGCTAATGTTTTCTCTCGGCTTCATCAGGCTGTGTGGCCCTGGCACAGTTTCTACCTGGAGGCTGATGCCCACTCATTCCAGCCCAGAGACCCAGTCTTGCTCAGTGTCTGGAGAGATGCCTTGCTTCAATCCAGGTGGACCAACCAGATGCTGACCTCCTAAACACTCAGAATGCCCTCAAACTAGAACGACTTGAGCTGTGGACTCATTGTTTCAGAATAACATTGTCCCTGAGCCAAAAGAAACTGCTGGAAAGCCCAGTTCGTCTGCTATCCCAAGTTAAAAGAACCATTCAGGATGAGATATTAGAACCTTCCTGAGTGGGTTTTAAAACTAAAGACTGGCTATGCTTTGCCTTAGAGCTTCAAAGAACTCATGAAAGGAGGTGGCAGCCATTAGGTAGCAGTACTGATACCATATTGTCCTTTCCATAGCTATTTCATGTATATTATGTTTTCCAATAACTAACTCTATGTCAGTGATTTAGCATAAGCATCTTAACTAGGATAGGAATGCTGGGTACTTGTACAACAGGCCTGAGTTATCCTAGAAAGATGTTTAATGACCTTCATGGAGACAGCTGGTTTGACAGAAAAAGACAGAAGTCCTAAAGTCTGGGTGATAACCAGCCCTGGCCAAGACATTAAACAAAATCTCGAATTATGAGCTATCTGTAAGTCTACTGTTTACTGCTCCTAAGGCTTTGTTTCTCTTTATTAAATATATGGCACTTGGTGGGAGGAAGGTTGGGAAATCTAACTGCATTGCTGCTGGTTCCCCCCACTGGCTAGTCTTTCTTCTCTCAATTTGTGGTGCCATATTAGAATCAGCTGCTCCAGAGAAAAACACACTTGAATTTTAGGGTAACACAAGTGCATATGGGTCACATAAAGTCTCTGGGCCTCAGTTGTCTTAACTGAGAAATGGAATGTGTGATCAATGATACTATCCTAGGACACACAACCAGATGTTACAGAGCAAGCACTGCATCAGCCCTGACCTCCCACAGGGGCCCTGCAGGGACCCTGGAGCAGCGTGCAAGTGTCAAGCTTAGGCAATTGCTACAGGCACTCTCTAGCTCCCCCCAGGTCACGGAGGTTTGATTTCCTCAGCAGAAAACAAGGATTGGAAGTATGTCACCCAAGTTGCCAGCGTAAAGGACAGGACCATGCTCATGCCGATTCTTCATAGCTCTTATCAATATCAGATTTGTTCATTTTCCTGTCTACCTTTCTCCTTCCATGAGACGATGAGCCCCAGGTTAGTGACTTTGTTTAGTTGGCCATAGAGTCCAGTGTTCAGCGCTATAGAAGCACTGAAATGGCTTCTGAAGAAATAAATCAAGGGAGTTTTTGCAAATGTCAATGGCTTTAGGGAGCTACAACCTGGAACTGGAGAAGGAATCTCCGAGAAAAAAAGCTCTGATCAACAGCCGCACACAGTGTCCAAGAGGCACCTGCTGGGGCTGTGGAGGTGAGTGCTCTCTCCAAAGGACTAAGACCTTCAAAGACCACAGAGCCAGGACCTGCAACTTGTCTGGATGAGAAATCCCCAAGAGTGTCCCACTCGAGCTCTGAGACTGCCACCCTGATCGATGGTATCTCAGATTTCTACCTGGGACGGTCTGCGGTGGGTGGCTGGGGCTGGTGGTGATGACGTAGAGGACTTTGGAAGACCGGGCAGCACTGACGCTGAGGTTGGCCTGCTCGGTGATCACCTCCGCCAGCGTCTGGTTGACGGTGGGCCTCTCCTGTGGCTGTTCTTCCTTGACGGCTGGAAGGTCAAAGGTTATGAAGAGAGGGTAAGGCTAACAGAAACAGTGGAGCCCCAGGAAGGAGAGGGTGCTGGTTATGAAGAGGGGCCTTTCTCTTGGAGTCAAGTCTCGGTGCAGAATTCTAAGTGCCACCTACCTCAGTGATCTCCTAAGTGGACTCTGTCAGGCTCTGGCTCAGAAGGAGTTGTCAACTTCTAATTATTTGACTGGTCCCTTCGCAGGTATTGGAGCCTGCTTTGTAGGTGTCTCACACCTTTGTAGCTTAGCCTCTCTGCCCGGGAGGCCTTTTCCTTTACTATCTATCAACCCAATCTTGCTGGTTTTCAAGGTCATCCCCCTCAGGGGCGACTACACACGCACTCTTCTGAAGGCCTGAGTATTGCTACCCGGGACACCTTTTCTTGTGCTTCTCCTGTGCTGGTAGAGACCTGCCCAGGGCACATGTTCAAACTCAAGAGGCCAAGATGGTTCCACCTTGGCAGAGTTGAGGAAGGACAGTGACTTGGTCTTTGGGGATTGGCTGGCATGCTTTAGAGGCAGGCGGTGGGCCAAATGACCTCTTTAGAACTTTCTGACTCCCAGCTCTTTCTGTGATGTAAAAGAGGTAATAGCTTTCTCCTCCATATTTCTTTTCAAGGAGGGAGGTCCGTCCCTTTGGGGAAGTAACTTTCTAATAAATCTATCTTTACCACGTTAGCCTCAAAAAAAGGTGATAATAACAGTAAAGGTTTTGATGAGGACTGCATTGTGTCTCCATGAAAGTGTGGAGCTCCTAACCTTTGAACCTGTAAGCTATGCTTTAAATCACTTCCCACCGTGAAAGTTGTTCTACAGGCGCTAAAATAGCAAAATTGACAGGTGACACCTCTTTTCTCTATCATTATAAAGTGGGGGGAAGGTGTTTTGAATCAGTCACATGGTTCCCCTAAAAGCATCGGCCTGAGGGTCCTGAATCAGGACAGAGTGGCAGAGAAGCCGAGCAACACCCCAGCCAGAAGGGGTGTTCCCCAAGGAGGCTCTGCAGTCTCACCTTGGTATAGGACAGCAAAGCCCTGGGCCTGATTGATGCGGTCAGAGAAGAAATACAAAATGACAAAATCCAGAGAGACGTTGAAGGACAAGGGTGGTCGATTCCTTCCATCGAAGCGGACCAGCACCCGGTGGGTGTAGCCGTCCAGCAGCTCCACCATGTCTGCCGAATCCCTGATGTCGAACAAGGTGAAGTTGAAGTGGATGTGGGCAGCCCCCGGCACACGGATGGTCCAATAGCAGACCCTGCCCGTGGCGTAGGTGTCCGGAAAGTCCGGCGAGTAGATCACTGCTGTCATCGCGGAGTAGTTCCCGCCACAGGCACCCACAAGAGCTGGGGAGACACAGGGGCATGGGGGCTCAGTGGTGTCTCGGCCATAAGCACACTCTCCGATTTGGTTACAAACAAGACTCCCCAACTAATGTGATCCTGTTTGGGATACATCACTGTTTTACTGATGTTGTTTTAAATCTACAAAACCCAGGCCGTCTTAGGTTTCAAGATCAGATCATGAAATGTATTGTCTGAACCTTGAATAAATATGGCTGCAAAGACCAGGAGCAGTGGGACAGGGCACAGAGGACAGCTATGGGGTCCTGGGCTTGGGCTGGAGTTGCAGAGTCTTGATCTGGTCTAGGTGTTAGATAGCAAGAGAGGAGAGAGGGAGAGGAGAGGGAGAGAGGTGAGGGAGAGAGGTGAGGGAGAGGAGAAGGAGAGGAGAGGGAGAAGAGAGGAAGAGGAGAGGGGAGAGTTGAGAGAGGAGAGAGGAGAAGAGAGAGGGGAGAGAGGGGGGGAGAGAAAGGGGGAGAGAGAAAAAGGAGGAGGAGGAGGGAGGGGAAGAGAAGAGGAGAGGAGAGGAGAGGAGAGGAGAGGAGAGGAGAGGAGAAGCGAAGCGAAGCTGGTCCTAAGTTATGAACAGGCCTCTATTAAGTAGACCTGAGAGGGACTCCAAGTGTGAGCAGAGATGAGAACGGTGTGCAGGCAGGCAAAGGCAGTGCCCTTTCATAGGGGCTGTGAAGGAGAATGAGATGCGAGAGGGGATGATAGTTTGCTGGGGCAGGGGTCCTATCTATCTGGAGTGTGCTCAGCCCAGGGCCTTATCAGGATCTGGTCATCTAATGACCTCATCAGGATCTGGTCAGCCCTAGGGCTAAGTATTTGGGGTGAGCAGGACCTGAGCCCAGGCCAATCCCCTGTCCCCTGTCCAGGTCTCCTGCTTCTCTCCATCTTCAGGACAGAGGAACCACTACCTGCTCCTGTTCCACACGGCTGTTGAGTTGGAACCAACTCCTAGCTTGGGTTTCTGAGGCTGTAAACTGCTCGGGAGGAAACTATCTTTCCACTGCTGAGCTGCTGGTGGATTTGAACTTCCAGAGAGGTGCTACCTCTGAGTTAGCAGAGCAGTTCTCTAAGAACGACACCACCAGAGTTCCCTTGCAATGAACTTAATAAAAGAAGAGCTCCTATTTATTGAGCTTGTGCAGTGTGCCAGACGCTGAATTCCACCCTTTCCAGGTACTAACTCATGATACAAACCCCAAATATCTGACAACAATAACAAAATCTCAGAGGAGGGATTAGAAAAGACCTTAAAATAACAAGATATCCAAGCTCATCCCACATAGATACATCAATGTCTACCAAAACAATAGTACAACCAAGGTGCTCCTTAAGGACGAGGATACTGACACTTTGCCTCACATTATTTTTGTATCTTGTAAGGAACTGGGAGTTCCTTGGAAAACAACATCGTGCTGAGAAAGGTGGAGGGTCAGAGAAAAGAGAGAAAGACCCCTCCCAAGATGGATTGACACAGTGACTGTAACAACGTGTTTGAATATTATCAGAGATGAGGACAGCACAGGATAGGGCAGGTTTAGAGCTGTTGTTCATAGGGTTGCTATGTGCTGTAGGTGACTAAATGGCACCTAACAGTGAGTCAAACTAGAAAAATGATCTTTTCTAGAGTATCTAAGTATCTCACAATAAACTACTTCTCTTTAAAGCTCTTAGCAGGATTGTAATCCATTACATGTTAAATCTCTTCTTTCCAGAGAGCAGGGGTCGAATTTGTTTGCTCAGTGAGGTATTTTCAGGGTCTTTTCAGTGTCTGGTCTACAGCAGGTGCTCAATGGGTTTTGCCAAGTGAACGGAAGGACGAAAGGGAGGAGAACAGGCAGGCCTGCTTCCCCATGCCAGGATTCACATGCCTTCTCGGGCAGCGATGGGTGCAGGGCATACTCACTATCAAAGAGGATGATCCTGCCATCGCCACCACAGGGCTGGGTGTGGTCTCCGAAGCAGACACTGTTGCACTCGGTACTGGCTGCCTCCCCGTACTTCCAGTAATCAGGATTGTTGCCACAGAAGCAAGCATAGCCCGACTCCATCCCGGCAAACTGACATTGGGGAGAAGCAACCGCACATGTTATGTGTTAGCCAGGGGTGTCTGGTGGCCTAGTAAGCACTCGGCTTCATCCTCGCCCGAGACCCCATCCGAGTCCTCAGCACACTTCATCACAAGCTGAGCATCATTTAAGCCTCCTCATGCTTGGCTGTACTAGTCCCCATGTCCTCTCAATGTGTGCATCACCACTGTATTAACTAAGTTGTAACAAAAACTTTAAAAGGTTGTGGAATGTACGCCAGGTTGTCATTTATAACAATCTTTACAGTCAGTGTAAAATTTTTAACAAATTTACTTTATCTTTGTTGTTGAGAATATACACAGCAGACAATGTACCAATGCAATCATTTCTACACGTACAATCCAACAACATTTACATTCTATGAGTTGTACAATTCTGTTTTTCCTTTTCTAAATTGTTCCTCTCTCATAATATAAACTCACTGTGTCCTAGATTTATTATCTAACATTTTGAGCTTGCCATTGTCAATCTGACCCCATATGATGTTGTTGTTGCTAGGACCCATGGAGTCAACTATGACTGATAGTGACCCTAGGAATGATGGATCTGAATATACATAGACTTTAAAAGATTGTAATGTTTTAAGGCAACGATTTTTTACTAGTTACAATATTGTTTGGTTTCACAAAAATTTCGGGGGATATTTTTCATTTAAAGTTTGATTGCTTGTGTTTTGGTTATCATAGCCTAGAAACCAATGCTTAATCCAAAGTCACGCAAATTTATACATATTTCTTTCTTTATAATGTCATCTCTTAAATTTAGCTAATATTTTCAAGGTCTCAATCTGTTGTTCAAAGGGTTGCTATGATGATAGTCAGTTCGATGGAGCAGAACAACGACGTCAGTCTGGAGACTAAGGTGCATCTGATCCAGGCCATCATCTTCGCAATTGCTTGTTATGCATCAGAGAGCTAGACAATGACTAGGGATAATAGAGAATTGATGACTTTAAGTTGTGGTGCTGGAGAAGAGTGTTGAATATACCATGGAGTGCTGGGAGAACAAACATGTTCATCCTAGAGAGGATGAAGCCAGCCTGCTCCTTGGAGGAAAGGATTCTGAGGCTTCATCTAACCTACTTTGGGCATGTTGCAAGGAGGGACCAGTCCTTGGAGAAGGACATCATGCTTGGGAGGGTGAAGAGATGAAGAAAGAGAGGGAGATGGATTGATACAATGACTGGGGTAATAAGGGTAGGTGTGTCAGAGACAGTAAAGTTGGCACAGGATAGAGTAGGTTTCAGGGCTGTTGTACATAGGGCCGCGATGAATCACAAGTGACTCAATAGCACATAACAACAACAACACAACAATTATAACAATATTACATATGGTGTGAGGAAGGGGTCCAAGTTAATTGTCACAGGTTGACAAAACCATTCTTTGCCTCAATAAATAGAATAAACTTTGCAACCTTGTAAAAAAAAATCAATTGACTATAAGTGAATGGATTTACCTTTCAACTCTCAACACTATTCCTTTGGATAGATGTCTATTTTTTGTTATTGTTTTCATATATATATATTATTACATCATAGGTTTTTTGGTTAGGTATTCTTCAAATTAATTTTCATTTATGGTGTGAAATAAGGATAAAAGTTAAATTTTTCTTCATGAAGACTTCTACTTGTTCTCCAGAAACATTTGTTGAAAGATTATTCTTTTTCCCACTGAATTAATTTATCATCTTTGTTTAAAATCAATTGTCCATGTAAGTGAGAAGTCTATTTCTGGACTCTCTATTCTGCTCTATTGATTTACAGCAGAGCTCAGGGGGAAAAAATTCTATGAAGGCCAGATAGTAAGTATACGACTCTGTGGGTTACATTATTTCATCAAAAGTGCACCTTTGCTATTGTACTACAAAAGCAGCCATGGATGATTTATGAATGAATAGATGTGACTTTATGTAAATGAAAGGAGCCCTGGTGGTACAGTTATTACCTGGAAGATCATCAGTTCAAATCCATCAACTGGTTAGAAAGATGTGGCAGTCTGATTCTGTTAAAATCACAGCCTTGCAAACTCTATAGGGCACTTCTGCTTGGTCCTATAAGATTACTATGGGTTGGAACTGACTTGTTGGCAATAGGGTACGTATGTGCCAATGAAACTTTCCTTATAAAATTAAGAGGTAGTTGGATTTAGCTTGTGAACCATTGTAGCTGATTCTTGATCTACCAACATTATTCTCTTGATTACGGAGCTGTACCGACAATCTCTGTATCAGGTAGGACAAATCGAAGCTTCGACTTCTTTTTCAAAATTATCTTGTCTATTCTAAGTTTTTAATTACTCAGGTACATTTCATAATCAACCTGTCAATATTTTGGAAAAGTCTGCTATGATTTTGATTAAGAGTGCATTGAATTCTGTAGAGCAATTTGAGGGAAATGGACATTTTCAGTATTTTATTGTGATGTGAGTAAAGGTTTACATTACCGTTTTCCATACAACAGCTCAGAAATATTTTGGGTTTATAGAAAATTTACAGAAAAAAATTAAGTTTTTCACTCAACAATTCATGCACATTATGTTTCATGGTACTGATTACAGTTCCCATAGTGTGAACTGACACCATAGACGCTGGCATCACTGAACAAAGCTCCACTTACTAAGGCTTTCTTTAGTTTTCCTCTGCAATGTTTTACAGTTTTCAGTACAGAGGTGTTAAACATCTTAAGTTTTCTGTTAATGGTTTTTTATTAAAAGTCTAGTTATAAATAGATATAAAATTTCCCTTTCTACGGCACATAACAACAACAACAACAACTGTTCAGGTGGCATAGTGCCATTATATGTTAAGCTGTTAACGGAAAGGTTTGTAGTTCAAACCCACCAGCCACTGCTCTGAAGAAAGATGAGGCAGTCTCCTCTCATTACCCTTTACAGCCTTGGAAACCAGATCAACTCAACAACAATAGGTAGTATTTAGAAAGGAGTCCTTTGGCAATGCAACTGGTTAAGACCTTGACTGCTAATAAAAAAGGCTAGAGGATCAAATCCACACTGTGGCCCCTTGGAAGAAAAAGGCTGGAGGATCAAATCCACCCTGTGGCCCCTTGGAAGAAAGGCCTGAGAATATCTGCTCCTGAAAACTCTCTGGGGCAGGTCCACTCTGCACACATGCTGTTGTCATCAATCCAAATAGATTCAATGACAACTGGTAACTGGTGGTATAAAGGAATGAATCTGCAACTTTGCTAAACTGATCTATTAGTTCTAGTAGCTTCTTTGTAGATTCCTCAAGATTATCTTCATACAAGATTGTGTTTTTCATAACAAAGAATCCGCTTCCCAGAGCAAGATCACATAGATCAAGACTACATTGCTTCCTAAGAGATTTCTGGTTTCACCTTTTTAAGTCTTCAACTGAGTATGAGTTAGTATTTGATACTATATATGCATGTATATGGTGTAAGGTATGTAAAGGAACTAGAATGACAAAAAGAAAGGTTTACTTCTTTCTTTCCAACTGACTTTCCTTTTCCCTTTTTTCTTGAGTTATTTCTTGAGTACCCAAAGTACTCCAGTACTTTGTTGAAAGAAGTTAGGGTGTACATCCTTGTGGGTCTTGATCTTAGGACAGCATGGAGCCTGTTCACTACTGAGTATTGAGTCAGCTGTAGGTTTATCACAGATGCTCTTAGTCAGGCTGAGGCAGTTCCCTGTATCGTTCCAGTTTCCTAAGGGCTTGTATCATGAAGGGGTATTGCACTTTCTCAAATGTTTTTGTATTGACTTATTTTAAAAATATCAAACATACTGGAAACATACTGGAAAGTTTCAAGAGGTACATTTTGTGGTGGCATGCGGGGAGGGGGGGAGAAAATAGATTAAATTAATTTTAAAAAGGTATTTTAACCAAAGGGGGAATAAAAAAGAGTACAGACCTTTTACCTGAAGCTCCCATTCAAGTTGGCAACTGACTTTATAATATCTTTTGTAGCAAAAGGATCTAACCCAGGATCATACGTGCTCTTATCAAGTCTCCTCAGTGTCCTATAATCTACAATAGTTCTTCAGTTCTTTTTTGGCCTCTGTTTAATCTTACCCTTTCTGACGTGTAGAAGGCCCTTCATTTTGGGTTTGCCTAACGTTTCCTTGTGATGAGATTCAGATTATGTGCTTTTGGCAAAAATATCATGGATGTGACGACACATGGGATCATCAGGTGGCACACAATGTCTGGTGACACAATGTCTGTCATTGGTGACGTTAACTTTGATCACTTGAGTAAGGTAGTGTATGCCAGTTTGCTCCACTTGAAAGTTACTTGTTTCTCCTTTGTAATTCCTAAGTATTTTTTGTGGAAATAATTTTGAGGATATCAAAATATCCCATTCCTCATGTAACTTTTACCCATTCATGGATACAATCTGGGATATTTACTTACTCATTAGTAGTTGCTTGTAAATCAGTTTCTTATGATACTTGCCAAATAGCGATTCCATAATTTGTTCTCTACATTTATAACCTGCCATTATACTGTAAAGAAACACTTTCTCTTTCCCTCATCGATTTATTTATGGGAGCATGGGTTAGTGGAGTCTCATTTTCTTTAATGGGGTCTAATTCATTACTGTTGCTGTTTGCTTTGAAGCATGGTGATTCCAGACTTGGCCACTGGGAAGCCCTTCAAAATGGCTCTCATGTCCTCTTGTGCTCTCCTCATTCTTTGAGCACTTCCTTACTTTCTTACACAAGATACCTCAGGCCCTCCTTACAATTTCCCAGTCCCAGCCCTGGAATGAGCCACTTTCTCTATGGAATCTTAGTTCTTTCCAGTGGGAAACAATATTTAGACCAAGATGTAGGTGTTAAGTGTACTCATCATTGTGTTTTTTTTCCCCCCTCACCACTGGACAGAGCTAAGAAATATATACACACTAACACTTTTTCATTTCTTTCTATCTATCTAGGGAGTCATATTGGCATAGCACATTATAATCTGGGCTGTTAATTGAAAGGTCAATAGTTTGAATCCATCAGCTGCTCTGAGGGTGAAAGATGATCAATTTCCTTCTCTAAACATTTATAACCTCAGAAACCCAAAAGAGGGTCACCATGAGTTGGCATCAACTCTACAACAGAAGGTTTTTTGAGTTTCAGTGTTGTCATGGTTTGTTTTTTTTTTTTTTAATCTATTATCATGCATTTATACAGATTCGCCCTGGAAAGGGTTAAACTGGGTGGCTCCTTGGAGGCAAGGATTCTGAGGCTCCGTCTAACATACTTTGGACATGTTGTGAGGAGAGACCGGTCCTTGGAGAGGGACATCATGCTTGGGAGGGTGGAGGGACAGCGCAGGAGGGGAAGGTCCTCTATGAGGTGGATTGATTCAGTGACTGGGATAATTGGGATGGGAGTGTCAGAGACAGTGCGATTGGCACAGGACAGAGTTTAGGGCTGTTGTACATAGGGTCACTATGAGTCGCAAGTGACTCGACGGCACATAACAACAACAAACAACAACTTCAATCACTTTCCAACATTGCAGGCTTCATGTCAGCTTTCCTCCACTTCCTTATCTGCAACTGTCTTCTCCAACAGTGAGAAACATAGCTCTCATTATCCTCAGTAGACGCTCAATCCCTTCACAAGCACCAACTCACTCAACCACGTTGGGCTACTTGCCAGGCTCAGCCGCGTGCCCCACACAGGCCACGTCCTTACACAGGCCCTCCAACCTGGCCAGGCTACCCTCCTCACTCTACTTACTGGCTTTCTGAAAACTGAGTTATTAAGGGAGAAAAGTTATTTTTCGTCTCTCTCTTTAAACATAGCAAATAATTACATTGAGCACTCTTATTTTTTTAATACAGCAAATAATTATAATGCCCACATACTAAAGTTCAGATAGATGAATGGATTAGAGAAAAAGAAAATATTTTGGACTTGTGTCTGGACTAGGATACCATAGTTTGTTAAGGAAGTAGCCATTGATTGGCTTTTCCCAGATTCTCTTTGCACATGTGATTATCAGGGCCCAGTCCCTGAACAGGGACATGATATTTGGTAAAAAAAGTGATAGAACCCTCAAAATGTGACAGACTGACAGAGTGGCTGAAACAATGGGCTCAAACATAGCAGTTCCGTGGGGATGGCACAGGGCCTGGCAGTGTTTCGCGCGGTTGTTCACAGGTCATTATGAGTTGGGGACAACTTGATAGCACCTAACAGCAACAACAACAAGTATTGATCCAGGGAACTTACACAGGGACGAAAGGATATAAACAACTGCACTGGAGGCCAGGTGGGATTGCAAATGTTAGGAACTTTCTCTGAGCCTTTAGATAAGAGATCTAAACTTGAGGCAGAGTTAGACCTGCCTTGCATCCCTGGTGCGCAAACCCCACTCTTCCTCCCATTTCTCCCTGGCAGACATACAGTAAGTATAGTTTGACAGGTTGCCCTTGTTTCATTCATATGTATTTTACTGCTATTTCAACAGAACACAGTTGTGCGTTTACTTTGCCCTGTTAATAAACACTAAGAGGGCCCAGCCATAAAGCCATTACCATGAACCTCTGACTCCGGCAAAAGCTGATGCAGGTCTGTATGGTGAGCTTGTTGGACGTTTTACTGCTGCCAGTCAGAGGCGGTGGGTTGCCATGGTCCTTGTAGCAGCCAAGGTTTCCGGGCACTGCAGGGGCAAAAAAGAACAAGAAGAGAATTTCACAACAGCTGGCTGTGAAACACCAGGAGAGAGAGGTTCTCTGCGCCAGGTACTTCCATTCCAGCCAATGTTTCCACTTCGAAGGTACAAATAACAAGCAGCAGGCCCTGAAGATGGAAGCCTTTGTGTCTTCTGCCAGGGGCCTTGTTTTTGTTTTCTTTTGAAGTGCATGGTCAGACTCAGGTTCGTGTACCTCTAACTAACCCAGAGATGTTCTGTGACTGGTCAGTACTGACAGGATTTAGTACTGAAGGGAAATAGGAACAATTCTCTAAAATATCTTTAAAAATGGAGCCGTGACAGAGTAATGGGAAAATACGCTCTACTTTCACTGGAGGATAAGGACCTGGCTAGGTTGTACTGAGACACCTACCTCATCATGTAATTAAATTTTGGCGTAGTTTGTCATGCAGCAATAGAAAACAAATATACCTGTTGTTGTTGTGTACTGTCAAGTCGGAACCAACTCACAGCTGATCCTCGGGGGCAGTGGGGGTGGTTCAGAGGCAGTTAATTGCATAGGAGGAGATTGCTCATCCTTGCTAGTGGCCTCGAACTGCATGCCTTCAGGATTTCAGTACAGCTTCTTACCACTTGGCCAACAGTGCTCAGCAAATACACTTATACCAAACATATGTTTATTAGGTGAAGGGATGAATTCATCATGGCCCTGGGCATTTCAGCCTTTCTGTATACCTCAATTTTCCACCAGTTACTCCTTTATCAATCAGTGAATTGCTAATTGAAGCTCTTTCTCTCTTTTCTCTTTCACAGTTTATTTTACAGAAGTTACGAATCAGGAAGACATACATGCACCCTGGAGTCCTTCTCTTATCAGCTAAGAGTTATATATTACCCAATCCTACAGTGACAGCCACAAAAACTCTTAGAAAATATTTCCCTTTTAAGATGAGAAAATAAGAGAAGTCTAGTGTAGTAAGTTTATATCCAGATTCCGATGGTGCTGAAAGCTAGGCCACTGGTATTTCAAATCCCAGTGGTCTCATTCATGGTGGACAGGTATCAACAGAGCTTCCATATGAAGGCAGACTAGGACAAAAAGGCCTAACAACCCTCCCTCCATCAGTGAAAGAAAACTTGATGGATCACAATAAAACAGTGACTTGCTTCAGACAGGTCATCAGGAGGGATTAATCACTGGAGTAGGACATAATGTTGGAAACAAAGGACCACAAAGATAAGGCAAACTCTTAGTGAAATGGATTTGCAAAGAGCCACCACAATGCTCTTAAACACACTAGTGACCATGTCAGCAACACAGGACAAATACTTAGTTGTGCATAAGAGGCTATGAATTTTCATCAACTCCAAAGCAGCTCTTCTGTCTGTCTCTTGTCTGCACTCTAGGCTCTTGGTTCTGTGAAATGAGACATGTGTCTGTGTAGACACACACATGCTTTTCCGTTTCTGCCATTGCCAGCCAGCTCATTTGAAACTGGCAGGAAGTCCCTCTGCTAACCCCAAGGGTTGTCCTCCCCCTCTCAGCCAGTGGTCACCCTTTCTCCCCTGCGTCATAGATGGTTGAGATATAACAAATGTGGCACACCACACAAATGGGAAAAATGCCTCTTTCGGAAACAAACCAAACTTCTATAGTAGCAAATGTAAACACTAAGGCTCCAGGCGGTGGGAGGCCAGGGGCCTGGCTTGGCCGGGCCTGAGTTTTGGGGTTTAAACAGCTGTGGTCCCATCACGGCTGTGTGATGTAAGCTGATGTTGTTAAAGGGACCTGGTATATAGAAACTTGAGCAATGTGTTTAATGGTTTCTTAATAACTATGTGATCACTATCACCTCAAGTCTTTACTCTGGTTTTTGTCTAATTTGTTCCATTAGGCTAATAAGTGAGCATATTACTTGGCTCAAGTGTGTCAGAGTTGATGAGGATGGCACAGGATAGGACAGGGTTCAGGTCTGCTGGTTAGAGAGATGCTATGAGTAGTACTTAACTCAATGGTACCTAACAATAACAATATGTTTTATCAGTGCACAGAGAGCTTAAGTTATAGAATTACACCTTAAGTTCTGACATGAATAAGATCATGCATTGCCTCAATGCAACCTCTAACCTCTACTCAGAGCAAGTGGTGCGTGAATCCAGGCAGCTCATGTTCCAGTGGGGGAAGCGAGGGACCAAAAAACACTTGGAGGTGGGGCCTAAGAAGCTGACCATGGCCTCTGTGGTCACCTGGGGGATCGTCTTTACCGCCAAGTCATCCAGTTCCAAACACCATCTGTTCTATCGCCTAAAATGCCACACACCTGTCCCCGTCTCCTCATCAGCTGCCACTCCCTCAGTTCAGGTCACGTAGACCATGCCATGGACTTCTGATCCATTCCCTCTCCTGCTCCCAGGTTCACCTCTCTAAACTAACTTTGGCCATCACAGCAATCTCTTCACAGTATCTTCCAGGCCTGAGTCAAGCATGACCTTGACCATGAACATCCAGTGGTGGGGAGAGGGATGAACAGCGGCATCTTGAGAGGGAGGCAGGCTCTGTCTAAAACCCTACAAAGCAGGGGCATTGGGGAGAGAATGCAAAAAAGAGTGGCTAGATAATGAACACTGCATTACATCAGAAGAGGGGAAGAACTGTTTGAAAGGAATATATGATTAGGGATTACATGTATGCGAACAATCAAACAAGGGGTGCTTTGTGGGGAGGACGAGGGGAGTGGCAGTGGACGGAAAGAAAATGTGCTAAATGGGAAAAAATGAAAACATTTCGATGTTAAAAACCAAACCAAACCACACCCTTCAAAGCACCTGGTTTCCCCTGAGGACAAAAAGCTCACACCTTGTCATGTGGTACACGTGGGGCCTAATCTGTGCTGTTCTGCCTGCCTTCCCTCTCCCACCAGTCTGGCCCCTCTCTGCCCTTGGGTTCACATTCTATCACAGGCCAAATCAATCAGAACATCTGGGCCAGTTTCCCAACTGCACTATGCTCTCTAGCCTTGCAGGTTTTGCACATGCTGTTCCCTATACACGAAATACTATTCCCTACTTAGCAGGAGTTTCTTTTCTCTGGGAATCTCCTTAGATAGTCCTCGGCTTTAGAGTCTTTTATAAGTCTGGTGTCAGCCAGTACTAGGGTCTCATAAGAAGGCTTCTAAGTGCCTACTACATGGTTCTAAAGCAGCCGAGGTCAGTTTGATTCTAAACACCTGTTTATTGTTTCAATACAGTCCTGCTTCATGTTCATAACATGAAACGGGACTGTATCTTCTGCACACCATTGTGTTCCCAACATAGCAGGCATGTGCTGAAAGAAAAAACTGCTCATCTGGGCGGCCAGCTGAAACCACGGAGGGCGTGGGTAGAGGTACCTCTCAGGCAGCACTGAGGGAACAGGGCAGAGCAGGCGTGGAAGCAGAGCTGATCTGCTTAGCAAATGCACTCAAAGCTAGTAACTACTGGTTTTGACTTCCACTCATGGCATCTTGTTTAACTATTTAAAAACACCATTCCAGATCACTGAGGTTGTCACAATAGTTAAATTTAAAATGGAAAATGTTATCTTAAACATTTTTGAGAAAACTTTTCTAAAATGGATTATAAACTCAGTCTCCGTAACCCTGAGACCAGAAGAACTAGATGATGCCCAGCAACCACTGCTACTACTGTAAAAGGAGTCACAGTAGACGGGCCTGATAGAGAGGGAGAAAAATGTGGAACAAAACTTAAAAAAAATCATAAAAATCCCAGACTTACTGGTATGATAGAGACCAATGGAACCTCCAACGGTATATCCCTTAATTACCTACTCTTCAAGCATCCCTATGACGCAATTTCCAGAAACAATAGATCAGCCCATAAAGTGAAGAGGAATACCTTCCTTGGAACAATCAGCCTTAAGGCAGCAAAACCAATTTGCTCTGCAAACTTCCAATCAAAATAAAGATTTTTAAAAAAAATGTACTGCTGTTGTATACCACCAAGTTGGAACCTACTCATAGTTGGTTCTCAGAGGCAGTAAATCGAATGGGAAGAGATTGGCCATCTTTCTCCTGCAGAGCTGGTGGACACGAACCTTGTGTCATTGGTATGACAGTGAAACTCCTTACCACTTGGCTACCAGAGCTCCCAACAAATAACACAAATGCATTCTCTATATCTTAAGTCAATTTAACAGTTCAACCTGTTTTTAACTTTTTCTTGGTGACTTGAGGCCATCAAATGGATTTCCCCAGATGGCCCCAGGCTGGTGTGCTTTCCTGCATTCTTGTGTCTGACTTTAATCGCCTGTCTCCTTGGTTGCCGTCAGGGCTGTGGAAACCTCAGAACGTTTGAACTGAAAAGGGTCTTAGAGGGCATTTAGTTATTACTACTGTCAGTGCCTGTAGGACTTGCTTAGCCTTGTTTTAATCTTCTGCTTCTTAGGTTTAGACTCAGAGGGAGGGGAAATTCCCCACAAAACTACCACACTTATTAGAACTGTAAGAAGGCTTAGTGTAGTTCATAAAACAGGAGGGCTTTTATGCTCCCCACTGGCTGCCCCCAAGACAGCAGAGGGGCAGTGTCTGTGTGCTGCCTTCTCGGTACATGATGATATTCTGAGAGATACTGGTGTCACCATCACCTGTCCCAGAGTGGCCAGCCCACTGCCCTGAACATAGATGGGGGCTCAGTGTCACAGAGAGCCTGAGCTACTGTTCTGGCTCCATCCAGGCCTTTCTCAAAGCTCAGTTTCATCTGCAGTGGGAAGAGGAAGAATACGTGCCTTTAGGGGATCTTGTGAGAATGAAAACGAGCTCATGTAAATAAAACAAATACCACAAGGCCTGGCTGGATAGCATGTGCTGGCTAAACAGGGTTTACTATCTTATTATCCTTGTACATAATGAGGCTTTTATCATTCTCTACCCAAATAGGGATAACTTGCTGGGCAACAGAAAAGTCGACTAGCCGGCAATCAAAAGACTGAATCAAAGGCAGCCACCTCC